CTAGAAAGAAAGAGGTAAATAGGTGAAAAGTTGAGCAGAAGTGAAAAAAAGTCATATAGGAAGAAAATGAGTAACTACCGGCACCGAAGTTCGAGCGTGACACTCTGGACCTATGAATATATGTTTCCAGCCAGGTGTATAAATAGCGGTGTCAGGCTACTGACTTGAGTGATTATTGAACGGAACTATCCAGTCGAATTAGTGTGAATTATTGTACCGCGATGATTTGGGTTTTGATTTAGGATTTACCGGACGTTAAGCCGAGCGGCGCTACTAACAAGGTATTCACTGAAATGGTTAATTATCTTTGGTTGACTTTTTACTTTTTGTTCTTGATAAGTATTTATTTGCAGTTGTAATTAAATACTGTTTTATTTTAACATTGATATCTTGAGTTATACTTAGTTATTAACGCCCATTATACGTAACAATATATATATATATATATATATATATATATATATATATATATATATATATATATATTGTCAGATAGGAAGAAAAATGAGTAACTACCGACACCGTGGTTTGATCGTGACACTCTGGACTTATGAATATATGTTTTCTGTCAGGTGTATAAATAGCGGTGTCAGGCTACTGACTGCGGTGATTATTGAGCGACTGTTAAGTGGAACTATCCAGTCGAATTAGTGTGAATTATTGTGAGTCGATGATTTGGGTTTTGATTTAGGATTTACCGGACATTAACTCGAGCCGTGCTACTAACAAGGTCTTCACTGAAATCGTTAATTATCTTTGCTTGACTTTTACTTCTTGGTTCTTGTTAAGTATTTATTTGTGGTTTTAATTAAATACTGTTTTATTGAGTTATAGTTGGTTATTAACGGCCACCGTACGTTACAAAAAAAAAAAAGAAAGAAAGAAAGAAAAAAGAAAGTCAACTAGAGAAGACTCGAACAGAAGTAAAGGACTAAATAAAGAAAGAAGGAGAGAAAGAAAAAGAAAGAAAGAAAGATTGAAAGCGGGGTAAAAAGTGAAAAAAAGAAAGAAATTAAAAGAAAAGTGAAAAAAGAAAAAGAAAGAAGAGAAATAGAGAACGAAAGAAAAGAAGAGCAGAAGACAAAAACAAAAGAAAGAAAGAAAGAAAGAAACAAACAAACAAACAAAAAGGGAAAGAAAGAATAAAGAGAATAGCAAAGATGCGAAAAAAAAAAAAGGGAAAAGAGAGCTAAAGAAAAAAAAATATAAGGCCAAATTGAAAATAGAAAGAATGAATGACGTGAATGCAGCGGAAGAGAAAAAACAAAAGAAAGAAAGAAGGAAATAAAAAGAAACAGTGAAGAAAATAGTAGAAAAGATATTAAAAAAAGAAAGGAAAAAGAAAGCTAGAGAGAAAATATGAAGCAAAAATGAAAAATGGACAGAAAGAGTAAAAAGAATGCAGCAGAAGATAAAAACGAAAGAATAGCAGAGAAGATGTGAAAGAAGAAAGGAAAAAGAAAACGAGAGAGAAAATATCAAAGAAAAGTGAAAATAGAAAGAATGAATAGCGAGAAAGTTAAATCAGTAATGAAAGAGAAAGAAAAAAAAAAGCAGACGATACTCAATAAAAATGGAGCCAATGAAGGAACCTGGGTATAAAATGTAAAGGTGATCTGGGTTGGGAGAAATTAGGGACCATTTGAAGAATGGACATTGTGAATAAAAAAAATAAACATATTAAGTCCACGAAAAAAAAAAAAAATTTAGAGGAAAATTAGAAGAAAAAAAAATGATAAACAAGAAAATCATGTTTTCTTTATTTTATATTAAAAGAACCGAGAAGCAACAGTAAAAAAAAAAAAATGTTTTAATGGAAGACAAAAAGGAACAAAAATACAAGGAAGAAAAAACGTTTAAAATCATCGTAACGAAAGTGCCTCCCATAGCTTGATGCTGAGCAATTTTTTGCCTACAAATTAATACGCTATCGGTATCAGTTGAATTCTCAGTGGATGCAAGATTTGGTCAAACTTAGCAAATAACTTATCAGTGATACATGGCTACTTAGTTCAGGAGACCCTTACATCCGACCTGAGATTGTTCCTGAATGGTGCCAAACAGAAATATGCTACCAATTTACGACACCTCTTTTAAACCGAACCGAATTACGAGCGAGCATTCAAACGGGGTGCAGAATTAATTTCACCCACCGCGACGCGAATGAGTCCGAACTTTTATTGTTTATAACTCCAAAACGGTAGATTTTATCAAAATTTCTTTGTTATTTTAGAATTAAGCATCCACATTTACATCTAAATGGAACTATTCGGGAAATTTTTTTTATTAGAAACTGAGCGCGGGGCTTGAACCGCTTTCGAGGTTCCGAGTTGAAATTAGTTCTGTCACCCAATCGAACGACTCGCTTTTCTAGATATTAAGCATTCAGTTCGTGTTTAATATTCGGTTTAATTTAAGTTTTTAAGTTCGAATATGAGAGAATTGGATCAAAAATATTTTATTGAATTATTACAAAGTAATCTTTGTTGGTCCGTCAAGATCTTGTAAATGAAGGATGCCAGAAATCAGTAATGTAACGTGGTTCTACCGACACATGCGAAGAATATGACCCTAAAATATGGGCAAACGAAAAAGTCTTAAGTAAATTGTATTGAACTCACAATTTGAGTCAAGTAACTTTTTTGATAACTTCATGTAATGACAAGAAGTACACAAGTATAGGCTTTAAGAAAGCTTTATTCAACTAAGAATACACGTTTTTCGTATAGTGTCCTTTTATAGTCCCAATAAACAGAAATAGCTCTCACAAAGAGAAGAGTAACAAAACAAAGGGAGACCATTCTTGATTATTCATAACACTTCAACAATTTTATCCAGTAGATCAGCAGGTGAATTTTGGGACTGATAAATCTCATATCTCAGCAACCATTTTTTTTTTTTACCAGAGCTCATATTACAATTTTTTTTATTATTATTCTTTTTCTCTAGTTTTACTGGTTCCCATATTGTATTCAAGTCTATGTCTGAGGAGATTTTTATGACCAATCATATCCCTTAGGTTTTCGTATTTTCCGGCGATGTTCTCTGTCTATTGTGAGTTGTGAGTTCAATACTTGGTCACAGCAGAGGGAACTAAAGGGAATTAACCGAAACTGAGATATCCAGGAAAAAGGCATGGCACGTGGAATTAGAACAATTTACCCCTGCGGACCAAATAAAGGGATCGGTTCGAAATTCCAACCTATATCATCTGAAGAAGGCCGGAGCGTACATTGTCCGAAACGTCGTGAATATTGCAATCACGATGAGGACAACAGCCCGAACGATGTAAATAGGCTAAATAGTTACAATACCTCATCTCATAAATAGCGACACATAAGGAAACTGATATTTGCAATCTGAAAATAGAGGACTGGTATTTCTGGAGCATATGATGAGGAAAGACGTCTCGGATTATTTGATACTCACAGGACATACGACATCCAGGAGTAACAGGGTTAAACAGCAAGTAATGAGTTTGCGTGAATGAATAGCTGCATAAGGACAAAGACATGGTAAATTGATACAAGTTACTAAGATCAACAAAAGACTGGCGGTTGTGGAGTAATGACTGCCCACGTTCTAAAAAGATATGGCGCATAGATTTGTACGTGTTAGTTTGTGCTAGAGTAAGTCATGTTCGGGAAATAGTTGGGGGGGGGGCTTATCATGGGGTAGTCTCGAGTAAGCTCGATTGGATATAAATTAGTCTACGTTCAGGGTAGTCTTGTCGAACACCGTAAGATGCTGTAAGAGCCAAAGAATCTTTAAGAACTAGACTCATGTTCTTAAATAGCTTCCTCAAAGCGAGACTTTCTTATGGATGTCATACATAGGGCTTAACCCATTAAAAAATGTCCAAACTCACAACTATATAATTTTTGCCTGAATTTCTGGGATGTGGAGTTATTATTTACATTATTTATATTCGAACTATTGTCCTCATCTTTGTTATTGTTATCACGACGTTTCGGCCTTCATCAGGTGTATATCGACTTGAGTAATCTACAGGGGATTCTGAACCCTTTATTTAATCTACGACGATAGACTGTTCTCGTTCAACTACTCATGTCTAAGGGTATTGTCTAGTTCTTATTTTTAGTACTGCTCAGCTACTGCTTACTCATTTACACTGAGTTCAAGTATACAATGCCCTGTCCAGGGTTTGAACTCACAATCACTAACGCTTAAATCCACTAGGCCATTGTTTCATGTCCCAAGGGACAATGGCCTAGTGTATTAATGATTAAAAATGGCTTTGAGCGAATTCACCCTGAGTGGCTGAGAGAAGACAAACTTTCCTCAAACCTTGCGTGTTTCCGCTATGGAAACCCAGACTAAGAACTATACCAAATAACAGAAACCACATCACTTGAGGACTACCAACAACAGCAACAACTAAAATGGATAGCACATGTAACTTGAAGAGAAAATAATGACATAATCAAGAGGTTGATGTTCCACATTACCTTAAACAAAAAGTTAGGAAGGAAAGTTTCGCTAAATACTGGAAGGAGCGATGACAGTTTATCTGTGAAAAACTATTTTTCAGAAAAAAAAAAAAATTAATGAAAACATTTTATAAATTTCAACTTACGGTCGAACTGGCTGTTCGGTCAACGAATGCCGAATGTTTCCTTATAAGGAAACAGCTAATATTTTTTTTATTGCGATTACCATTAAGACGGGGTAAGGTTGAGGCCCGCTGTGTGCCGTATACTTGTTAGAATGTACAATAATTGAACGCTTGGGTTCAACGGGGACATTTCAAAGAACTTGCAGGTACAGTTATCGAATGTAACGTGCATGGATTAAATTTTTGGTTGATTCTTTTTTTATGGTTTACCAACCTTTTGCAGGTTTAAATAACCTGCAAAAGGTTGGTAAACCATAAAAAAGCCAGGAAATATAAAATATAAAGCCAGGAAATATAGAATGTAAGAATTTTAAAAAGATAATGGTTTTGTAACACTAATTAACCCATAGCGGGGAGAAGAGGT